ATAATTTCAAAGACCTTCCTCTAGGTTTCGCTCTATAACACTCACCTCCTTTATGATTTACAATATTACGCTTGAACTTATTTAAATAAACATAAATTCATTATAATTTAACAAATTTATCCCTCTTTATATTAATCCATAGTATTAAAAAATGGGTTATTTAATAAATACTTTAAAAATAAATTAATATGAAGACAATGTTATACATGGACCTAGATAGAGACCATGATGATAATACTTTGGAGAAGACTTACGAGAGTTGTCTTGACTTTGTAGGTAACATTAATGTCTCTAAATCATTAATTAAGAAAAAAATATGAAAAGAGAAAGAAAAAAAATCTAGGGCAAAGGGGAAAATATACTCCTTAATTTTGCGATTTAGAATAGACATATTCCTCATTAAAAAAATAGTGAATATATATCTTTGTCGTCTAACAAATAATGCATACATACTCTTATCGTCTAACAAATAGTGTATATATTTACCCTTTTCGCTAACAGACCGAATTAAAAAATATCTTAAAATTGATTTTTTAAATTTCACAAATGTCATGTGGCTTAAAATCATTACCTCGTCAATTTTTTACCCACCCAGATCCTATCCAATTAAAAAAAAATCTCAATCCTTCTTCTATTTAGACTTGACCCAAATCCATTTTATGATTGAGTAGATGAGAAATTAAACTATTTTTTTCATTTGGATCGGGTTTAGAGGTGTAAATATAGGGTGAAATAATTTTCTCAAGTCACGAGACATTTTTAAAATTAAAAACTCAGTACTACAAAAATTTTTTCAATCAAGTAAATATAGATATGTTAACGAAAATGAAAAATATACATTATTTGTTAAATGATATGAATATATATGCATCATTTTTTAATGAGAGATATCTTCGTTCTAAATCACAAAGTTGAGAGATATATTTATCTCTCTTCCCTTTTTGCTATGATTGCCAACTATACAGATATAGTAATGAATGATCAAACATACCCTATAGTTGCTAGAAAAATCTCCACCACTAGATGTCTTATTCTTATCTCTAGTAAGAATAAGAAAGAGAAAAATGTCTTATTTAAAATTATAAAATACTGATAAATTCATCTACAAGAATGATTTCTCTTTTAACAAACAAAAATAATATTTTAAAAATTATAGAGTAAACATATTCGTGATATGATAGGTCTTTTTTAACGTCCTAATAAGTTGTGTAGAAATTTATCATTTCAAGCTCTTTTATTTTCGAGTCCCCACCCATAATAAGTATCGTTCCTCTCTGGCTTCAATTATTCAATAGAGAAAGTAATGAATTGCTTCAATTTATCATTGTGTTCTTGTTTGAATGAAAAATCTTACTTTTGAAAAAGAGAAAAAATGACAGTTTTGCTGCAGATTGTACCACTAGCAAAAGAGACAGAAATCACTCATCATTCTTGTTTGCAAATTACACATAAGTGTTGTTTAGTAGTTTGTTAGAATTATGCAGATATTAGTAATATATAAATTTGTCATGATAAAATTTATGTATTATTATATGTTAAGTATTTTCTCTAACATCTCGTACCAAACAACATTAAATCCTCTCCTTCCCAACCATCATGATCCCCCCCCCCAATCCCACTCTTTTCCCATTAGGGATGGCAAATGGGGTGGGACGATTGTGGTTGTGGGGAAAATTCATGTAAATCCGCAAGGATTTCAACCCACCTCGTTTTAAATAACACAATTTGTTGTTTTCACACCTTGCATGAACCTGCCCTGTATTATTATCATTTGTCATGTTTTTCAGTCTCTATTTTTTTTTCCTCGGAGTCTTTCAAGTTAAATTAAAAAAATGAAAAGACACGTGATTCCAAATTTTTTTAGTTAATCCAAATGATATATTTTTAAAAAAAAAAAGGACATGCTATCGAGTACAAAGAGAGGAGAAAAAAAATGCTTTTAATTATAATAAGATGGTTTAATTTAAACTTAGCAATTCTATAACCCGTAACCGGTTTCCATATATTTTCTAAAGAAATTATTCGAACCCCACGCCCGCTCCATTATCACTCCTACCTCCCATTAATTTTTATTAAGTTTGGTTGTATAACTAAGAGGAGTAAGTTTCTCAGGTAAGTTGGATTGATAACAATTGAACTTAGTCAATTTCTTTTGGCACAACTTGTTATGTCTTGGTCCCATGCTTTAGTCCTTTTCCACTACATTATAATAACACAACAACAAATATAGAATAGAGCACATGGTTGCAGAACATATATATTAACTCCGTTCGATTTAAGTTTTTTGTTTATTTGAGCACAAAGTTTAAAAAATAAAAAAGAGACTTCTGAAATTTATGATAAAATTAAAATTGTGTAGTTTTTCAAATTTTGTGGTCACTTACAAGGTAGAATGTAGGAATTAGAGAACTTATTAAATATAAAAAAAATGCTCTTTTTGAGACGTATTAAAAAAGAAAAGTAAAACACTTAAATCAAAATCGAAGAAGTATATAAGTTTGAAGTTTGAACAATTTATTTTGTTGAATCTTTACTTAAAAATTCTACTGAGTTAAAATATTCAACGTTTGTAGCTTCTTCTAACACATTATTACTATAGCAATTATATGCACCTATTATTATCTCCAAAAACAGGTATTATAAATGTTAATGTGCTTCTTCAAGGAACTCTGTCACTAAACATTGAGCTTCAATACACGGCAAAGACAGTTTGGTGCACAAAATATTCCACGTTAGTATGGTCCGAGAAAAGGGTGCACCTCAAGTACTTAATAAAAAAATTAGTATATATTTTTTCACGACTCAAATCTATTACCTATAAGTTACATGGCAACATATTCATGATAAGATAGTCCCTTTTATCAGTATAAGTAAAATGAGTTGTGTAGAAATTTAGTAAGTAAAAAAATGTAAGGAAGAAAGTGCGATGATTTACCAGAATGTAAAGTATCATTTAAACAAGGGATCCAATTCTGTTAAATTCAAAATTCCTAAATAATAATATTTTCAAGAATGATAGTTTTTTTTTTGGGAAAATGCATAAGTACCCCCAACCTATGCCCGAAATCTCAGAGACACAGTTATACTATACTAAGGTCCTATTACCCCCAAACTTATGTTATAAATAATTTTCTACCCCTTTTTGGCCTACGTGACACTATCTTGTGGGCCCAACGCGTGTTGACAATTTTTTCAAGGATAGTGCCACGTAGGCTAAAAAGGGGTAGAAAATTATTTATAAAATAAGTTCAGGGGGTAATAGGACCTTAGTATAGTATAAGTGTGTCTCTGGGAATTCGGGCATAGGTTGGGGTGATACTTATGCATTTTTTTATTTTTTTTTCTTTTAAAAAGAGAAAAGAACTTTTCAAAAATGTTAAGTGAACATATTTATGATATGATATGTCCTTTTAAACACTATAATGAGCTGCGTAGAAATCTATCATTTTAAGCTCTTTTATTTTTGAGTTTCCCACTACCCCCCTTTCTACATCCCAAATAATTTACCATTTTTCTCTTGCTTCAATTATTGAATTGACAAAGTAATGAATTGATTCAATTTATCCCCCCACCCCACCGCCCCACTATGAATGCCAGTTGTAGATTGTACCAATTATACATATTGATTGAGTAGTTAAGAGGGGTAGGTTTCTGGAATAAATTGATTGATGACAATTAAGTTTTATCATTTACTTTTGACACAACTTGTGTTGTCTTGGTCCTATGCTTTAGTCCTTTTCCACTACATTACATTAACCTAACAATCAATCTATAGAATAGAGCACATCGTTGTAGAACGGATGCACTAACTCTGCTCAATTTAAGTATTATAGTTTGTTTGAGCACAAAGTTTAAAAAATAAAAAGAAAATTTTGAAATTTATAATTAAATTAAAGATGTGTGTAGTTTTTCAAATTTTATAGTTTTAAACTTACAAGGTAGAATGTAGGAATTGAATATAGAAAGAAATACTCTTTTTTAAGACATATCAAAATAGAAAAATAAGACACTTAAATCGAGTCTGATGAAGTATATAAGTTCTAACATATTTATTTTGTTGAATCTTTACTTAATATTAATAATTCTATTGAGTTAAAATAATGAACATTTGTTGCTTCTACTAACACACTATTACTATAAATTATAATAATTATACATGCCTATTATTATCTCCAAAAACACGTATTAGAAATGTTAATGAGCTTCTTCAAAGAACTCTGTCACTAAACATTGAGCTTCAATACACAGTTGATAAGGCAAGGGTAGCTCTGGATGCACAAAATATTCCACGTTAGTATGTTTCGAGAAAAAGATGCAACTCAAGCACTTTATAAAAATAGTTGTATCTATTTTTCACTGTTCGAATTTATGACCTATAAATTATTCGAAGGCAAATTCACCGTTACTTTAACATATTCATGATATGGTAGTCTCTTTTAGCACCGTAAATAAAATGAGTTTAGAAATTTATCATTTTGAACTCTTTTATTTTTATTTTTGAGGGGCCCTTTTACACCAACCTTTACTCTCTTGGTTGAATTATTGAATTGAGAAAATAATAAATCAGATGAAGTCTTTGTCTTCTTATAGAGTGAAAAGTCTTTGTCTTTTTTTTTTCTCTGACATTGTACCAAATGACTAGTAAGTGTCTTAAATAGGAATTACTTTATCTTAACAAAATCTCTACCATAATTAGGTTTTATTTTATCCTTAATTGATAAAACAATAGACACAAGTATGATATATGAAAGATGTGTTGCTCGAAATTACTATTGTCTACTTATATTTTAATTCAGTAGGATTATTACGTAAATATTGAACAAAATAAATTTGTTAAAATTTACATAGTAAATCAAGTTGACGGATGCATGTGCATGCATCCTCACATAAACGCGTGGGTCCGCCTCTGTCTACAACCCTAAGTACCTTCAATTATTCAGTTGAGAAGGTAATGAATAGGAACTAGCAAAAGAGAGATATTGAGAGATATCAGTGATCATTCTTGTTTGGAAATTACTCTTACCATTCAACAGGTAAAGTAAAGTTGTTAGTAATTGAAGATTGAAAAATTTATCTTGTCAAAATTCTTAAAAAATCATTTTGTGTTCTCCTTGTTTTGCTTTGCAGATTTCAGAAATGGAGGTAGTTGGTGGAGCATTTCTCTCTTCAGCTTTTGATGTTCTCTTTGATAGGCTTGCTCCTGAGGGTGATCTGCTCAAAATGTTTCGGAAGCGTAAGAATGATGTTCAGCTCTTAGAGAAGCTGAAATCGACTTTGCTTGGTCTTCAAGCTGTGCTAAGTGATGCAGAGAATAAGCAAGCATCAAATCAATTTGTGAGCCAGTGGCTTAATGAGTTTCGACATGCTATCGACTCTGCTGAAAACTTGATTGAACAAGTCAATTATGAAGCATTGAAGCTTAAGGTGGAAGGTAAGCATCCAAATCTTGCAGAAACACTATTGAAAAATTGGAGATTTTGCAACCTGTGCTTGGGTGATGATTCTTTTCTTAAAATAAATGACAAGTTGGAAATGAGTATTGAAACATTGCAGAATTTGCAAAAGCAAATTAGTGACCTTGGCTTACAGGAACGTTTTGGTTCGACTAAACAAGAAACTAGAACTTCAACTTGTTTGGTTGATGAATCTGATATCTTTGGTTTACACAAGGAAAAGAAGGATATGATTGACCGTTTATTGTCTGAAGATGAAAGTGGAGGAAACCTGACTGTAGTTCCTATTGTTGGAATTGGCGGCTTGGGTAAGACAACACTAGCGAAAGTGGTTTACAATGATGAGAAGGTGAAGAACCATTTTGGTTTGAGAGCTTGGTATTGTGTTTCTGAGCCATATGATGCTTTGAGAATAACGAAAGGGTTACTTCAAGAAATTGGCTCATTTGACTTGAAGGATGACGGCAATCTGAATCAGCTACAGGTCAAACTGAAGGAAAGCCTGAAGGGAAAGAAATTTCTTGTTGTCCTTGATGATGTGTGGAATAATGACTATAATGAGTGGGATAACCTGAGAAATGTTTTTGTACAAGGAGTTATGGGAAGTAAGATCATTGTAACAACACATAAGGAGAGTGTTGCTCAGATGATGTGTGCTGATCATTGCGCAATCACTGTGGGGACTCTGTCTAGTGAAGACTCTTGGGCTTTATTCAAAAGACATTCACTAGAAAATAGGGAACATCCAGAACTTGAAGAGGTTGGGAAAAAAATTGCAGATAATTGCAAAGGGTTGCCTTTAGCTCTAAAGGCAGTTGCTGGTACTTTACGTGGAAAATCAGAGGTGGAGGAGTGGATAAAAATTTTAAATAGTGAAATATGGTATCAGCAAAGTTGTTGGAATGGTATATTACCAGCGTTGATGTTGAGCTATAATGATCTTCCTGCACATTTGAAGCGATGTTTCGCTTTTTGTGCAATATATCCCAAAGATTATGAATTCTGCAAAGACCAAGTAATTTACCTGTGGATTGCTAATGGTCTTGTAAAGCAATTTTGTTTAGGTGAGGAATACTTTGACGAGTTGAGATCAAGATCATTGTTTGAGAGGGTCCCAGAGTCTAAATGGCAACCGGAGAGATTCATAATGCATGACCTTATCAATGATTTGGCCCAAACTGCATCTTCAAAACTTTGTATTAGGTTGGAAGAGAGCAAAGGATCTGATTATATGTTGGAACAAAGTCGGCACATGTCCTATTCCGCTGACGACATTGGTAACTTTGAGAAATTGAAACCACTCTCCAAATTAGAGCAGCTGAGGACATTGCTTCCAACCAATATCAGTTACTCATATAAGCTAAGCAAGAGGGTGTTGCATAACATACTTCCAAGACTGACATCCTTAAGGGCATTATCATTGTCATATTGTAGGATTGAGGAGTTGCCAAATGACTTGTTTATCAAATTAAATCTCCTCAGATTTTTGGACCTTTCTGGGACAGATATTATAAAGTTGCCAGATTCTATTTGTGCATTGTATAACTTGGAAACACTTCTCCTGTCATCTTGTCAATATCTTGGGGAGTTACCGCTGCAGATGGAGAAGTTGATCAACTTGCATCACCTCGACATAACCAACACTTATTCCTTGAATATGCTGCTACATCTGAGCAAGTTGAAAAGCCTCCAAGTCCTAGTGGGAGCCAAGTTTCTTGTAGGTGGTAGCGGTGGTTGGAGAATGGAAGATTTGGGTGAAGTACATAACTTGTATGGATCTCTATCAGTTTTAGAGTTGCAAAATGTGGTTGATAAAAGGGAAGCTCTCAAGGCAAAGATAAGGGAGAAGAATCATGTTGACAAGTTATTATTGGAGTGGAGTGAAAGTAGTACTGCCGCCGACGATTCTCAAACTGAAAGAGAGATACTTGATGAGCTACACCCACACACAAATATAAAACAAGTCGAAATCACCGGATATAGAGGGAAAATTTTTTCAAATTGGCTAGCTGATCCTTTGTTTCTTAAGTTAGTACAATTGTCTCTTAGCAACTGCAAAGACTGTGATTCCCTGCCAGCACTAGGACAACTCCCTTATTTAAAATTCCTTTACATTAGAGGGATGCATGGAATAACAGAGGTGACGGAAGAATTCTATGGCAGTTCATCCTCCAAAAAGCCTTTTAACTCTCTTGAGGAGCTTGAATTTACAGATATGCAATGGCACATTCTAGGAAGTGGGGAGCTCCCTATACTTAAGTACCTTTCAATTCATCAATGTCCGAAGTTGATGGGGAAGTTGCCTGAAAATCTTTCTTCTCTGACAAAATTAAGTATTTCAGAGACACCTCTTTTTGAGGAAGCTCAACTGTTTAGATCCCAATTTGAGGGAATGAAGCAGATTGTTGAATTATCTATTTTTTGTTGTAACTCTCTTACCTCCTTACCTTTTAGCATACTGCCCAGTTCCTTGAAGACAGTAGAGATATCTGATTGTCAGAGATTGAAATTGGAGGAGCCAGTTGGTTATTATAACATGTTTCTCGAGCAATTGACACTGCGAAGTTGTGCTTGTATAGATGATATATCACCTGAGTTGCTCCCAAGAGCACGCTCTTTGGACGTACATACTTGCTATAACCTTGCTAGGTTTTTGATTCCTACTGCAACTGAAAGTCTCACTATTTGGTATTGTGAGAATCTTGAAATACTTTCAGTGGCAGTTGGAACCCATGAGTCTGCCATGACGTCTTTGCATATTTGGTATTGTGAGAAGCTCAAGTGTCTGCCAGAAATAGATCTCTTCAATTTACAAGTCCTTGAGATCCACCATTGCAAGAAACTAGTGAACGGCCGAAAGGAGTGGTGTTTACAGAGACTCTCCTGTCTCACTAAGTTAGAGATCAGACATGATGGCTGTGACGAAGAGATCCAACATTGGGAATTGCCTTCCTCTATTCAAACACTTAGAATAGAGAATCTGAAAACATTAAGCAGCCAAGTTCTCAAAAGCCTCACCTCTCTTCAATCTCTAGATATTACTAATTTACCTCAAATTCAGTCACTGCTGGAAGAAGGTGGGCTTCCCTCCTCTCTTTCTCAGCTAAATTTATGTCACCATGATGAGCTCCATTCACTACATCTTTGCCACCTCACTTCACTTATACGTCTTCACATCTGGAAGTGCCGTAATCTCCAATCACTCTCTGAATCAACACTGCCCTCCTCCCTCTCTCAGCTGACCATCGAGGATTGCCCTAATCTCCAATCACTCTCTGAATCAACACTGCCCTCCTCCCTCTCTCAGCTGACCATCTCTCATTGCCCTAATCTCCAATCACTCTCTGAATCAACACTGCCCTCCTCCCTCTCTCAGCTGACCATCTCTCATTGCCCTGATCTCCAATCACTCTCCATATCAGCACTGCCCTCCTCCCTCTCTCAGCTGACAATAGATGATTGCGATAATCTCCAATCACTCTCCAAATCAACACTTCCCTCCTCCCTCTCTCACCTGGAGATCAAATATTGCCGTAATCTCCAATCCCTTCCAGTAAAAGGGATGCCCTCTTCCCTCTCTACACTAAATATTCTCAACTGTCCATTGCTCACACCACTACTAGAATTTGACAAGGGGAAATACTGGCCAAATATTGCTCAAATTCCCATCATACAGATCGATTGGAAATACCTGCAATGCTTAAAACTAATGGTGCTCCCACTGATGTAAGTTATTCTTTTCCCTCAGAGGCTTGTTATTTTTGTTTACTTTACTTTTTTGCTAATTTTTCTCCTTTTCTTTTTTATTTCTTGTCGAGCAGTGTGGAATGTCTTTTGCTCAATCCACACCGAAAATTGCTCATACTTCCACCATAAATGTTGATTGGGAGAACCTGTAATGATTATCACGAGTGGTGCTCCGATAGATGTAAGTTATTCTATTTCCTTAGTATCTTTCCATTTTTGGTTAAATTCTTTTTCTTTGTTAAATCCTTTTGACCAGCGTGTATCATCTATTGCTTCAATGAAGTCGAGGAAATAGCTATAGATCAGGATAAACTCTTTATATTTGCATTAAGACATTTTAAAAGAAATATAGTATAGGTAGGAATTGAGATAATTTGCTCCAGAAAGTTGGTTGTTTAATATATATCATCAGGATGTTTATAGCAATTCATTTATCACTACAAGAAAAAGCCTTATTTAAGACCAATATTTTGGGACGCACTAATAATCTTGTCTCTAAAAGTATATCTATTGGGACGAGATTATATTCTAGTCCTTATTTGTATAGTCTATTGCGAAGGTATTAAATTTGGTCCCGAAAAAACTTATAACTAGTCCCAAATGGTAATTGAAGGTCTTTGAGCGGGACATATTTCCCCCCAAATTTAATACTAAATTATTAAAATAGAAAAATTGTTTCAACAAAAACATAGGCGCCAAACTTTTTACATTGAAAGTGAAAAATAAAAAAAAAGAGCGCTTTGTCTTCTCAAAAACACATTGCGCCGCCGGTTGCGAAGTTGCCCTATTTTCTCTTCAGTGCAACGTCTCCATTAGATTCTTCATCTCCAATCGAAATTCTCTACCCTAATCCCAACATTTTCACTGTGCTTTTGTCGCAGGTCAGCCCTAAAAATTTCATCGCAGCAACAGAGTTATAGGTTTGTTCTTCTTCCCATTGACTTGCTCTATTTTTTTTTTCCATAAGTTGCTTTGATGACGTTTTTTCTTGTTATATTGAAGTTTCTCTTCTTCTTCCTCATCTTTTCTAACATTAAATAGGTCACTGATTTCATAATCTTGTCTTTTATTTTGTACAATCAGTGAAAACATTATTGGATTGAGGTTTCTAATAGGTAGATAATCTGATTTCATTATCTAGTTTTATATGATCAATGTTTCAATTATTTACGAGCCAAATAAGGACTTGTGTTGTTATTCTTATTGAAAATTTTATTTACATCTGAAAAGGTTTCGACAAAATTGTTATTCATGTTCAAGAATATATAAATGTATTGTTTACCTTTAGTTATTGTGATTTACTTAGAAAATTGAATTGTTTTGGAGTTTGGACATATAAACGTTGTAGTAATATAAATAGTTAATATATAGTTGTATGTTTATTAAGATTAGCAATTTCTAATGTTGTTAGTTCTTCTTTATGCATTACTTTGAGGCAGCCAGTTACTCATTGCAAAATATAAGATGATGTGATTAAATCATCCTGAACTATTGAACAAAACCAAAATGATCGCCTACTGATATTTTTACATATAGTAATTGCATGTAGTTTCTAGAAACCTGCCTGAAGTGATCATCTGTTAGATTATTGGTATCCAAGTTCCCAACGTATTAGTCTTATTAGGGTCATGCTCATTTCGAGTTTCAGTACATTGATATGAAGCATAGTCATAACTTGTAACTGCTCGCTCTCATCCCCTAATCTAATAAACGTGTAGCTCTTTATGTTTTCTGTTACACAATCTGTTACAACTTTAGCAGTTTGATTAAAGGATAATTGACCTTGAATGTCTCCTAAAATAAGTAACATGTGATATCAACTGTCAAATCATTAACGAATATATTGTATTCATGAGTATTACCTAAATATTTTTCACCTGATCCAAGTGATGTCCAATTTAGACTAAACATCTGCTCAATATTAGGCATCAAGGTACCATTGTATGCTTCTAGATTCATTATTGAAGCTGGATGACTATTAAACACTAATTATGTACCTCGCTTTTCTGGTTTCTTCTCTTGTGGAGTGACTTTCGGTGAGGTAAATAATAGTGTTCTGTAGTTTAGAGATATATGCAATGTAACATATAGTTATGGAGGGCAATTGTGATTTAGCGACTTCTAATTTTCTTGGTTTTTTTTTTGTATTAGTTGAGGCTGCGATAAATATTGTTTACCAACTTGAAGAAGCTAGTTTATGAGCCAAGTTATGTCAAACATACAACTCCTACTGTATCCATATAAATGTTTCTTCCATAACATTAATTATTAAGAGAAATCTAAGTGTTTGTAGATAAGGGAAAAAAAATAGCAGGGCACATGAATCTTGATACGTGTGTGATCTTAAACCAACTACCAACAAGAGATTTTTTTATTGACAAATTACTTTAATATTTGGTAGGCTAAAAGGAATCATGTATACATGTTTCAAGAACTAACATCTTAATTACAAGTTAGTTTATAATCTTTTATTTTCCATTGTGCCATTTGATTGTATTTTTATTTTTGATCAAACGATTGTGTTTCATTCATCTTTGGAATCCAAAAAGTTACAAGTGATTTAAGCGAGCTGTGTAATAAGCTTCCACATTAGAGAATTGATACTCCATATATCTTATCTAATCTTAAGACTCGTTAAATGCAACATGGAGAATAATATCTATACAAGTTACATATTCCTCCAACAATTTAAAATATTAGTATTGAGGATCAAAATTCAGCCTAGCAGGTGTTCTTCTTTGTGTTCTTACCGAGAGAACTTTCCATCTATCCATATTCAAAAGTCCCTTGATTTCTTTTGGGAGTATGTTGAAGTTAGTGTATATGTGAACTTGGTTTCAATTATATACTAAAGAAGACAATCTATCATCCACTTTGTAAGTTTCAACATACATAGTAGTTGCTTGTAATCATGTATTGGTTTAACATATCTTTAAAGGGATCAATTTCATAAGTAATTACTTTAAATTGTTATGTGTTATGATAGAAAATGTTCTTTTATATATTTGTAGGCTCAACTTGAAGAAATGGTTCAAGCTGATCCATCTATACCTACTATAGAACTTGTTGAAAAATTTTGAGGACCTCAAAATTGTAGCCATGTATTTGTATTTTGGGGTGGAGTAAAGACGAAAGACTTGAAAGGTGGAACTTCTTCTAAGGCTGATTTATTATTTGCGCTACGTTCAACTCAAGAGGATAACAAATACTTGAACGAAGAGAACAAATCCTTGAACAATTGCTTATCTACCTTAGAAGATGAGATGAAAGAAATAAGGAAAATGCAAGAGCTCTTTGCTGCTCAAGAATCACATGTCCAACCTATGACATCGCCCGTTTCAACTGGTTAAGCAATATTTTATGTTGACCGAGTAAGTAAAAATATACTTGTTTGTTGGAGATTGTCGAACTGGATGTAGTGAGATCTATGTGCTTTTTACGGTTGAAAAAATCTTTCGAATTGTTGTCTGTTCACTGTTCGGCTCCATCGCTAACTGTAGAGGTTTTTTACTTTTAATCTTAGTAAGTAAGCTAGTAGACTTGCTTATAGGATTGATTCTTGGCTGCTCGGTTTCAACAAGTTCTTCATTCAGGTAGGTATTTTTCACTCTTTCCTCTAAGCTCGTTTTTGACAAGTTCTTATAAAGATGGATTCTGCCTCATTATGTCCATTAGGTTGCCTCTCATTTTCTGACTAGGAGTTTGTTGTTTTTTGTTTCCAATTTCCTATCGTGATCCTGCTTATTTTTTCTCTTTTTCTTTCTTGTTTTGATGCTAGAGATTGCCGGTTTGAACATGACTTTGCTTTTCTTGTTTTGGATTACTTTTTTTCTTTTTCTTATGCTTCATTCATACATAATCTATCAGCCATGATCTGGTTATCATCAAGTGAATGACCAATATTTTCTGTTGATCGAGGAAGTAAAAATATACTTGTTTGTTGGAGATTGTAGAACTGGATGTAGTGATATTTATGTGCTCTTTACGGTTGAAAAAATCGTTCGAATTGTTGTCTGCTCACTGTTCAGCTCCATCGCTAACTGTAGAGGTTTTTTATTTTTAATCTTAGTAAGTAAGCTAGAAGAGTTGCTTATATGATTGATTCTTGGCTGCTCGTTTTGGACAAGTTCTTCATTTGTGTAGCTATTTTCCACTTTTCCTCTGAGCTGCTAGGAGACATAGAAATATTCACTTGGTACCATTGTAATTCAGCTGATTGTTGCTACTTTCTGCCTCATTATGTCAATTAGGTTGCATCTCGTTTTCTGACTAAGAGTTTGTTGTTTCTCTGTTTCCCCTTTCCTGTCGTGATCCGGCTTATTTTGTCTCGTATTCTTTCTTGTTTTGATGCTAGAGATATATCTGGTTTGAACATGACTTTGTTTTTCTTTTTTTGGAGCACTTTTTTTCTTTTTCTTATGCTTCATTCATACATAATCTCTCAGCCATGATCTGGTTATCATAAAGTGAATAACCAATATTTTCTGCTAACTGAGGAAGTAAAAATATACTTGTTTGTTGGAGATTGTAGAACTGGATGTAGTGAGATCTATGTGCCTTTTACGGTTGAAAAAATCATTTGAATTGTTGTCTGCTCACTGTTCAGCTTCATCGCTAACTGTAGAGGTTTTTTTATTTTTAATCTTCGTAACTAAGCTAGTAAACTTGCTTATATGATTGATCCTTGGCTGCTCATTTTCGACAACTTCTTCATTTGGGTAGGTATTTTCCACTTTTCCTTCTAAGCTATTAGGAGACATAGAAATTTTCAGCCTGGTACCATTGTAATTCAACTGATTGTTTCTGGTTTTTGCCTCATTATGTCCATTAGTTTGCTGGTCATAGGAGTTTCTGGTCATAGGAGCTTCGCACCATAGAAATTTTCAACTTGGTCATAGGAGTTTGTTGCTTCTCTATTTCCCTTTTCCTGTCATGATGAAGTCCCGTATGGCAGCTCCATAGGGCGGAGCGTGTAGTTAACTC